TGAATATTGCCATGTTTAAGAAGGAAATACTTTAGAATTCCTGGATAACCGAACTGTTAAAACTTAAATCAATACTACGATTAGCTGTTGCCCATGCTGGCTTGCCAAACCAGTAAGGTGGGCTCAATAGACAGCATTTGCACCAACAAATGCACACCACTTGAGAGAAAAACATAGTGAGGAAGAAAAGAAAGATGCATCTGCTCACCAATGCTGAATCACAATTCACTCTGAAACTGCACATAAAATAAGCATTGAGGCCAGGAGTGCCAGTGGTGGGCGCACTGGAAGTGATTCATCTCACCCTTTCCCTTGTAAGTTAGCTGTAGGGAGCTTTGCTCAGCTTTGCTAGGATTTTGTGTCTGCAGCAAATGGTTAGGATGAATCATCGGTCCTACCTATTTCCACATAGATTCTCATTCCCAGCAGGCTGTGAGGCATATGTTCACACGATAATCTCAGAAATACAAAGCAGAGCAGAAGTGTTCAAGATCCTTGGAAGCCAGACTCACATTACCATACTTCTGCCCACATGCTCTACTGTCTATTGGAAAGGTCTCCACAGTCACAATATTCAGGGGACAGTGATGGAAAAGAGAGGAGACATTTTTATGAGAAACTACCACAGATGCAGCTAAAATGTTTATGGTGCCTGTTATTGGCTGATTGAGGTGGAATGGCTCATCCTTCTTCTTAAATTCTTTGGAAGATGTTCTGTATGTGAATCCAAATGTTCTCCTAAATTAACTCATATGCTGATAGTGCTTTCATGTCCATATGAGAAAAATGTATCCAAAAGGGTGTAGAGCATCTAGGGGGAGATGAATATCACAAGGATTTGAGGTATTGAGGGTAGAGAACATGGCCAGTGTAGAACTCAGCATTTTCAGTGATGGAGCCCCTGAGAGAAGGAGGCTGTGATGTAGGCAGTAGCAAGATATGGGATCTGGAGCTGAGACATCCCTTGCAAAGTTATCTGAGATAGGATGTGAGGTTTGTGGATTTAAGAGCATGATTCTGGCCACAAATAATAGGGCATATTTATAAATCTATGTGAGAAATCCTCCATAACATCCAAAATAGATCTTTAAGAAAAATCAGCAAAAGTTAAAACAAAATTTAAAATAGTTAGTAATGAGTGAGGAATGTTAATAGATATGATATTCCTGGAAGCTGGGGTCCCTCCACTCTTCTTTCCTCCTTCTGCCTTTCTTCCCTCCATCCCTCACTTGCTACTTTCTCCTTTTCTTTAACATATTTCCACTGAGGATTTAAAATAGTTGCAAAGCAGAGATAAGACTTGATTAAGTAAACTAAGGTGTGGGTTAATGGGCAGATGAGCTTTAAAAAATAGAAGAGTAATGGGGTACAAATTGTATATTTTTAACATATGAAAATAAAAGCTGTATTGACAAAGGTGATATATATATATATATATCATAAATATAGAGACAATATGCAGCCCTTGCCTGCCTTGAACTAGCTTGGTAGACAATGAGGCCTGGAACTAGTAGAGCTGTCTGGCTTGGCCTGGACAGGAGTGCTGGGATTAAGGATGTACATCACCATGTCCAGCCAAGGTGCAGCTTTTTATAACTCGAAGATACAGTTAACAGGTTGGTAAATAATGAGAGACTATAAGAAGGAGTCAGTGGTTATGATTTATTGATGGTCAATTCTTAATCACAACCCAAGGAACCAGAGAGTCTAATAAACTGACCACAGGCATCTATTTTTCCCCTCTGATTTCGTATTCAGATTTTATTTACTTATTTATTTTCTCTCTCGGATATACATAGTATGTGTCCATGTGTGTGTTCACACCCATGAGTTTGAGAGTGCACACACACATGAAGGCCTAAGGCTGATGTTGGCAGTCTGCCTTAGTCACTCTCCACCTTATTCTTTAAGGCAGAATCTCTCTCCCTTGAACCCATCATCTGTCTAGCCAGCTTGCTCTGAGCGTCCCCTGTCTCTGTCTCCTGGGCACTGGAATTATAAGTGGGAAATGGCACCTACCTGGCATTTACATGGGTTCTGGAGATCTGGATTCTGGTCCTCAAGTGTATGTGGTCAGCATTTTACCCACTGAATCATCTTATCCTTATATTCAATTTTAAGCACATTTCCAAACATTCAGAAGGGTATCTGTAGATCTTATCATGTTTTTAATCATCTTAACTGATATTCAACTTTAGATAGATGATGTTCTTGCTTTTGAAAAAAAGTTAATCTCTCCCTCCTGGTGTCTCCACCATCATATCACTATGGGATACTTTATCAGCCACATGATATTCACATATCTGCACAACTCTGTAATGGGATCCTAACCATGAATAAATGACAAAATGGAAAACAGAAATATATGTAAAATTTAAACTACAAAAAAAAGCCACAGGGAATGTCTACTTTTCCATCACATGATCAGGCTGCCTAGATTTAATTGTATGTCAATCTCTACATCTACCCGTTAAGTGTTAATAAGTTTTCAACACAGAACATTCAAATCCCAGCAAGCCTGTGGTTCATGCTCCTGAAATGCTCAATAATCACCGTGTGATTTTATTCCTCCCCACTGAGTCTTTTTAAGACTAGAAAGGAAAGCATCCAGGGCTAAAGTCTTTTTTAATCTCAGCTTAAGCTTAATGGAGCCAGAGTCCCATCCTTCTTGTATGAGATTGGTGACCCAGTGATAATAAGTTCCTCCCAGCAACTCAATTATTTTTAATGATTTACACAAAATAATTACTGTTGACAAATGTCCATATCCTCAGAAGATCAAAACAGCTATGTCCATGTCCAGTTTTGTGTCTTCCATCCATCATGGCTTTGCAAATGGTTGGACATCAGAGACTGAGGACTGTGAGGACAGAGAGCTGAGCTGCAAACACCAGGCAGATTAAGTTTCTCTTAAGAGGTGCATGTACAGAAGTGGGTCAGTGGAAAGTGAAGGCCAAGAGTTTTAGCAGAAAGTAAAATGATCTGAGTTCATAGAGCCTTAGGCAAGGAAGGATTTATTTATCCACATGATCTAAAGGTCCAATGTGGCCCATTTCAGGTAGGGATGGTTCCACACCCATATCTTGCCTCTTCATCCTTAGGCTTCTTCCTAATACTGGTTAACTCCACATGCTGACACCCTGGCCACTACAGATCTGTATTATATTATAGTTCAAAATGCACAAAAAGGGCTCCTTTTTGGTAGTGCATATGTGCTTTTTTTGAAGTGCTAAAACTATCTCACATTCCTGACTTGTACATTATATTTATGAATGACTTAATCTGGGTCTGACAGGATAGCACAGCAGGTAAAGATACTTGTGGCCAAACTAGATAATAAGAATTTTATATCCAGGACCCACATGATAGAAGGAAATAAAGGATTCTCCTGGGTTGGCCTTTGACCTCCACCCATGTAGCTCGTGGAGTTCCCCAATAACACACACATAAGCAAATAAATATAAAAAACAAAACTCTCAATCTCTTTAGGAGATGTATGGCCCTGACAAATAAATTATTTGTGTATTAATCGCTGTTTGCAGAGTACCATTAACTCACATGATTGTCATAACACCCACACAAGTTTTACTCCCAAGCAGGGGAGCTGAGAATGACAGCCATCTCCCATACTTTGTTTACAATCTAGCCTGTACAATCAATCACCTTGCGATTAATGGAGTCAGACAGTTTTTAGAATCAGAGACTTTTAAATCAAAGAAGACTTCACAGGGTGGTCTACAGTTGGGCAGCAAAGATGGAGGAAGAAACTGGGCCTAGGAACCTCCCAGAAGCATAGCCATTATATTGCATCTCCAAGGTTTTTCTTTCATGTTTTTTGTTCCTTCCATTCAGTTTTCAGTCTCTAGAGAAAGTCTCTTGATCCAAGCCTTTTGTCTTAGTCACTGTTTATTACTGTGAGGAGACATTATTACCAAGGCAACTTACAAAAGGATGTGTTTAAGTGGGGGCTTACAGTTTCAGAAGGTGAGTCCATGACAATCATGGTGGGGAGCAGACAGGCAGGCACACTCTGGAGCAGCAGCTGGAGCTGCATTCTCATCTGCAGGCCTACTCTCACCAACTCTGCTCCATGCTTGTGGATCAGATGTAAGATCTCAGCTATTCCTCCAACACCGTGCCTGCCTGTCTACTGCCATACTCTCTACCATGATGAACATGGAGTTCATCCTCTGAAACTATTAGCAAGCCCTCAATTAAATACCTCCTTTTTAGTTGCCTTATGGAACAGTAACTAAGACATGGCTTTAGGATGAAGAGAGAATCTGTTTCTTTGGTTATATGGTATTTTCTTTCTACCTTCCTTCTTCCCACCTTCCTTCTTCTCCCTTCCTCCATTCCCTCTCTTCTTTCCTTCCCCCTTGGAACTCACATATTCTAGGCTCATCTTGAACTTGCTATGCAATTAAGGATGATGTTGAATTTTTCATGCTTCTGCCTCCTAAGGGTTGGGATGCTGGGTATCAAAGTCTTGCCTCTTGTATGCTAGAAAAACACTCAAACAATTGAACTACACTCAGCCCATGGGTGTATCATGTTTCCTATATACCTTAATGTCTTGTCTTGTACATGTCCCTAGATTCTTTCATTTCTTGTAATCAACCATCAAGAATAGATAAACATATTTACTTTTTAAAGAGACAACAATAGCAGAATGTTATCATTGAAATATATGATAGCTCTCAGTATGTCAAAGAGGTGATTCAGGAAAGTTCCATGGTACCCTCTTTTTGGGCTTCCTGAAAGCAAAATATTAAATAAATCCTAATCTGCCATCTCTGTTCTAATGAAAGGTCTTGTTTAATTTATATTTCAGTTGTATGCTGTTTTGTTCTTCCTTTTTTCTAACTCGGGTTGCATCACAGAACACACCAATTCTTTCTTTGAAGTTTTGAGTATGTGTCAGAGCCATTTTTGTATTTACTTAGGAAACTAAGGAAGGATGAAATCACTAAACCTGAAGAAACTTTGATGTACTGTAATCAAAAAAGAAAGTAGATTTTAAACAATTAGGAACATGGTTCTTTCTGGAGACTTTACTTGGGAAACAAATTGCTGGTCTTTAGTTCCTGGATTCTTCAATCATTTCAAAACACATCATGATCATCAGCACTTGAGCCTGATTGGCAGACTCTCCATCCTCCTGTCTAGCTGTTTTAAGGGGAAAGGAAAGCAATATCAATGTAAACACCTAGAACATTCATCAGCTAAAAATTGTTCATCAGAAGCACTATAGTGAGAATGATATTGTGGAATGAATCTGTTGTCAGAATGGGAGGTTGCCACTGAGATGGGGAAAGCTGAACCCTTTGTAGAGAAATTTAAGGGGAGATTCAGGGGAGACCTTACTTCTTGTCCTATCACTGTAGATATCTTTCTATATGCTGTGAATATGTGTGGCTCCCATTGGGTAATAAATAAAGCTGTTTTGGCCCATGGCAAAAATGTTTACAGCCAGGCGGGAAATCCAAGCAGAGATACAGAGAAAACAAGGGCGGAGTCAGGAGAGACTTGAGCCTGCTGCCAAAGGAGCAACAAGATGTCAGCAGGCTGGTGACACCACAGTCACCTGGCAACATGTAGATTAATAGAAATGGGTTAATTTAAGATGAAAGCACTAGCTAGCTAGAAGCTAAAGCAATAAGCCATACAGTTTGTAATTAATATAAGCCTCTGAGTGATTATTTTATAAGCGGCTATGAGACTGCAGGGCCTGGTGGGACTGAGAAACTTACGGCTACATCATCTCCTCAGTACCTGTCATTTTAAACTCTTTCAGGTCTAGTTCAACCACATTGTGTGAAGTTCAAGATCAATTCTGCCTCAGTCCTCTCCCTATCCTAAAATATACTAAAACATACTAAAATATGTAATTATAATTCATAAAACATCAGTGAGCTAGAAATACAAAATATCAATTACTAGAAAGTCTGAACTCCTGCTGGGGCTGTGTGAGTTTTATGCACTTTTCACCTTACTGAAACTGTAATCAGCTTTTGTTGCCACTGTTTAATGATGATGCATGATTTTAACTGAAGAACCAGAAAGATGAAAATATCTTGAAGAACTTCTAATGTTTTCCTCAGTCAACTATTGTATACTGTGAAACAGACAGAGTCCCCTAGCCTTCTCTTCATGTATATGTGCTTCCTTCTAACAATTATTTTGATTTTGATTTATGTGTACATATGTTCATGCCAAGTGTGTTCAGGTACCCACAGAAGTGAGGAGAAGACAATGGATCCCCTGGAACTGGAGTTGCAGGTGGTTGTGAGCCTCCATGTGGGTGCTGGAAATAGAACCTGGCTCTTCTGCAAGAGAAGCCAGTGCTCTTAACTATTGAACCATCTCTGCAGCCCCATGTATATATGTTTTGATAACTATGTATTCATGCTAAATTATAATAGAGATTAAGTTATAATACGCTCTTTATGCATAATACTGCACACTCTACTTATTATTAACATTTTTGGGCAAGTTCTTTTGTCAAGAATAGTATTTGTTTGGTTGATTAATGACTGATATATTCATTGTATTTGAATTATTTTATGTAGGAGCTGAAGAGATGGCTCATCAGTTAATAGAACTTGCTGCCCTTCAGTGGGATGTTGTTTCATTCAGTTCTCAGCACTCAAATGATAGCTAACAACCATCTGTCATTCCAGTTCCAGGGAATCCAGTGCCCTCCTCTGGTGTATGTGGGCACTGCACTCATGTGGTCTGCAGACATTCATGCATGCACACACTTATATACATAAAATTTAAAATTAATTCTTTATTGTTTTTAATGGTTTCCTGTTTTTCAACATGGTACATAATACTGTTGAAATAGACATTAAGTTTCCCTCAAAGAAATACATTATTTCTCCTTAAATCTTTGAAAGGAATATTAGATATATACTTATTTTTTTTTAATGAAATACAGTTGTTTGGAAGGAAGACAGAAATAATTACAAACAAAACACAGTAAGTTAAGAACAAAGTTTTGTTACTTCTGTTGGTTTTGTTAATTGTTAATTTAATTATAGTTCATTGAATAATTTTTTTCTTAAGCTTTTCGTGTTTCCTCTTCTGCAGAGGAAGGCATCGCTGATAACGAAAGCTGAATAGCTGGGGTTTTGTGAGGAGACACGCTGTCTGCAAGAGTCCAACTTGGTCCCTTGTTTCTGACCTGTACCATTTGTATTGAGGCTTGGATCTAATGGGCTAGAACAGCCAACCCTATTGCGAGGGTAGAGAGAGCAGACATCCATGCCACATTACTGTTGGCAGGGACAACGTTCTAGGCTTTCTGATTAAGTATAGCATTGCAGATGTTTTAACTGCCTCTTATCAGGCTGTGTACATTTTCAGTTTCTTCTATTTTCCTAAGTGCTTTTGTTATAAATCAGTGTTATATTTTGTCAAATTCTTATTTTGTATGTCTATAATCACATACTTTTTTTTCTTAGTCTGTTTATAGTGAATTTCATCCAATGATCCTTTAACATTGTGGTGTTTATTATACACATATATATATCTATATTTATATGTCCTTATTTCGCAAATCACTTTCTAAATGTTTGTTACAATTTTATATTTCACCTGAACATCTTTTTCTCCAAAGAAAAAGTTAAAATTATGATTATTGATTACAAAGACTATATGAACATACAATGCAACAATAACAAAAAGAATAACAAAGCTCCAATATGCCATTGTTCCTGCAGGGAGGGTCTCTGAGGGACAAAATCCTCCCAGCAGGATCATCTTCACTAAGAAATTTGTGTCGTAGTAAAATCATCAAGTCCTTAGGCATATGTGTTTTAGATGTTTATGAATGATTAAAATAGAAAATATGACAGCCCCTGCTATGTAATGGGAACTGAATATAATTAGGAAAAAATACTGTGGTCTTTAGTGATTCTAGCAACTGATATTGTCTACCAAATCACTTCAGCAAGAATGTGCTTTAATATTGAAATTCATTATTCTCTATAGCTCTTGCACAGGAAGAAATGCTTGTGAATTTTTACTGGCTAGGGGAAAGGCAAGCTATTTCCGTCTTTGAAATGACCAAGTCCTTTCAGAAAAAAAAAAAAGAATTTAGGTATAAATTGGTACTGAATTTTAAAATGTTCTCGGAATATAAAACATTTCATAAAAATGAATAACTATGTTAGGAGCCTCAGAATTTAATTAAAATATCCTGAATTACAACTATCCTCACTGGCCATAAATACCTCCCCCACCTCCAATCTCTGGCTATCTATCTGCCCTATTTCATCCTGTGCATTTAAATGTGCATTGTCCTTCTTGGAAATCAGAGTAACACATATTTATAAGGCATGTGTTAAATGTCAGCGTCTGGGCATTGCTTATGAGGTGGTATGGACAGACACACGGGAGTCTGGCTCTGTAAGGCAGTTCCATGTTACCGCCTTGTGCTGTGCACTTCAGATTTGGTGGACATTCCTCTGTACACACAGGGCCATTTCAGGAAGCCTGCTACTGATTGTTTGGAGTAACATCCACTGACGTTAATGCTACTTTAAGAGCTGCCCCTGAGGTAGTGCTTGGAAATTTCAGAGACCCTCTTCCCTGCCAGAACAATTTCTTCAAGATGAAATCGAAATGTGGCTTGATACTGAAAGGGACATTTGTGTTTAATGTCCGTGGAAAATTCAGTGGACACGTCCCTAACAGAACATCAGAGTTTATTTTCTGATCAGCCACAGAAGTGACATGGCACTGTCACCCAAGGTCGGAAAAGACATAAAGTTTATGTATGGGCTGGGAGCATCTGGCAAGGTAATGCATACCTATAATCTTGGAGGCTGAGGCAGGTGGATCACTGTGAGCTGGTGGAAAGTCTGATCTCTGGACCAAATTTAGTTTCCCACCTGTTTTTGCTTCTAACAGTTTAAATTTTTGTGTGTATGTGCTTTGAAGGATTGGACACAGGGCTTCAAGCCTGCCATGAAGGCATTCTACTGATGGTCTATATCCCCAGCCATTGATTTTTTTTTATTTTTAAAAATATTTATTTATTTTTATTGCATGTGTTTGCAAGCACTTGCTTGCCTGCATGTATGTATAACATTGAAATTGTGGTCATCTGTCATTAGCAATCCCAAATACTGGGCTTATAGGCATGTACCATCATACATGGATGAATATATTTTTTTAATATTATCAATCTTTATCTGTGCATGATATAAAAGCTTAGGAAACATGCAGCAGAGAAAGAGGAAATAATGTAAGAGCTACAAGAGGATGGACAGGAGTGCTTTGAAATGCCATCTTCTGTGCATGGCATGGCCACTGTGCTCATGAGTTCACAACATCTGTGGTTACCTGCACAAGATCTAAACAAGATCAAGCTGTTAAAAATTTTAACATGGGTGGAGGTTGGGCTCTTGAGCCCTGCCTGCCCTTATCAGAGAAGCTGTTGACAGTAGATAGCCATGTGGAGAGGGAGAATCATTCTTCTCTGGGAGTATGGACACTGGTAGGTTGCCCACATTCGAGGAGTTGGCTCCACACCCATGCACACATTGGCATCACTATTTGGATTAATGAGTTGTTAAAAAAAAAGAAGAGGACATGAAGTTGGAAAGGGGTATGTTGGGGGGAATCTAGGGGAAGCTTGAGGGACAAATTAGGGAGCAGATAAGGCCCTATGTAGTTGCATGTCATAGTATTCTTAATAAATTAAAAGAAATAAAGCAATATAAATGTTTAACAATATTATTACGACATCCATATAATAGAATAGGATGTAATTTATAATAAAATAATTTATAGATGACATGGAATGATGTGTGATTGGAAAGTGTATGCCATCACCCCATCTTCAGCTAATTCAATGACTTAGTCTGTCTCATCATTCAGCTTTTGACTCAAATGTCACCTTCTCTGATAGGCTATCCCTGAGGACACAAGTCACAGCATACACTATTGGCTACTTTATCCTATGACTCTGTTTTATTGTAAATAGATATTTACTTATATCATAGTATGTTTGTTTATTATTTCTGTGTGTGTGCATCTGTGTGAATTTATATGCTCCATGTGTATGCAGGTACTTACAGAGGCCAGAAGAGGGAATAAGATCACATGGAACTGGAGTTATAGGCAGTTGTGAGACAACATATGGGTCCTGGGAACTG